ATAAATTACATTAATATAGTCTAATAGTCATACAGTGAGGCATTTTTCAAAGCATAATTTATTTTAAAATACAGTAAAACCACCTTATAAAGGACACCCTATAAGACGGAAATCTCCTTACAGCTGTAAATAGCAACAGTCCCGAATACTATATCCCTTATATTATAATATAGGTACTGTATATTTTAGACTTTAGTCTCCCAATAACGAAAAAGCCTTTATAATGGAAAACCCAGTTTGAACCGAGCAATTCCGTTATAAGGAGGTTTTAATGTTTATCATTTGAAAAAAGTTACTTCCTTGTACCCAAAGTTTGGCACAATCATTTATTTAGTTTATTATTTTAATTAGGAGTAAAAAAAGTATCATGTACATTTCTTTAAATTATAAGTTACATAATGTTATAGATAACTGTTTTATTCTTAACAATAATGACTTTGTGTTTTGATGATATGCAACTAAACTTATAGGATACATTGTTTAGTTTATTAACACGATGTACCTAAATATTATAGCCACGCATATAAGCACGTCAGATTGTTCATAATTTTAGTAAGTGTAACATAATGTTCTAAGAGATAAGTATAATTCATTGTAGTAGACTGCATGGCGCGTGGAGCACGTACCTACTATATCCATGGTATATAAAACATACTACAGGTGTCACGTGCCTAAGACGTGATTAATTTGCTTCAGATATTTCCTTAAACCTATGGTCTAGTGGTTCCCAACCTAGCCACTATGGTTTGCGAGATATTGTGTAATGGCTCAATACCTAAAAAAATGCAAAAGATTCATTTCACAAATAATAAAAAAAATAGAGCACATCATTTTAAAACCAATGCATTCATTGCTACTCTCAGAATCTAAAATCACATTAAACTTTTAATACATGTAATATTCTAATCTACCTTTAATAAATATAATAATATAGTATCCCCATAAAAGTGATTTATGTTAAACTTTCACTTAAATTTGAATTATAATAAACTTTATTAGTAGGTATTTAATTATTTGGTTAATAAGAAAAAAAGAGGTCTAAAATTCAACTGGTCCGTGATGTATTGAAAGTTCACTAAGTTGCCTTCAGTGTTAAAAAGGTTGGGAACTACTAGTTGGATTAGTTGACAGCTACTATATGTATGTATACAATGTGACAAAACCAAGTTCATGGTTAAATAATAATCTGAATAGTGAATAGTCATTTATAAATCATCACCCATTGTAACGTAAATCGCATAATTGTTAAAAACAACTAACAAAAACAAATTTTTTTTAGACTTATTTATATCACAACCGGAATATTTTTATTTGTTGAATAAATATATTTTACAAAACTTTATTTTCTTCTTAAATTTTTGATTTAACGGTGAAGCAATTTTCGACAAATTGTTGATTCGAATATTCCATAGATTTCCATACCAACTAGATGAATTCAAATTCCTAACAGAAAAGATATTGAGCTAGATATATACTATCTATGGAGAATTAATATGCTGAAGTAGAAAATCGAAGCATTTGCAGATAGGAAACAAATGATAGGTACTATAAAAGATGATGATAGACACACAAAAAAAAAAATACTAATAAAACAAAAAAACTTAGGTAGGCAGTGGCGCCGAACCTATAACCCAAGAGGGGCGACCACCCCCCTCGGTGGGTGGGTCGTGGGGGTCCGTGGGTACCCCAAAAAATTATTTAGAGTATGTGAATAATATTGTTTGATACCTACCTATAAAATACGTTATACCTGCTTAAAAAACTTGGTAAATTATAATAGGTGAATTGAATACACGTGACTTTATATTTGTTAAGTAGAACATGAAACTAGTTGTGAACACTTTCAATGAGAATAATAAAATAAAAATGAAAATAGAGTAAAAATATGTCTTCCTAAAATATTTGAGTTAGTTACGCACTTGTGCTACTAAATATTTCTCTTAAAAAATTGTAGTTTAAAGTTGTTTAAACCATGAATAGTGCTTACTATGTATGATTGTCGATTGTGGTTGAAAAAGTGACATCATGAATAATATAAAAGTATTAGTCTCTAAAGGAACCTTAGAGTGTTGAATACATGCATGGAGGGTGTGGGGGGCAAAGCCCCCCACGTTTTTATTTTCTAAACAGGGGTGGTGGTCCGTATAACTTTTTACTTACCCCTCACCCTTTTAAAATATATTTCGGCGCCACTAATGGTAGGTACCTACTTACCACTGTAAAATCAATACAGACATCGCTCAGTTTAAAATCTAAAATATGTACCAACAAATAAAAGTAAATAAGATAGGTACAATAGTGGTACAACAATACAATTATTAATATAAAATAAAATCCTTATCAATATTATTGAAAACCCTATTCATAATAATGAATATTATTAACATATTTGTTCTATACTTCACTATATTAGTGATATGACTCGACAATTAGTTATGCTTTAAAAATAGTTTTTTAATAAATTATGACAGTAAAAAATACTATAGAACTCGCTCTGCTGTATCATAATAAGATAAAAGATATTATAAATTAAATTTCTCCGTCATCAAGTAGAGTTAACAATAATGACACCTCACTGTTAGTACCTATTAGGCTTTGTTAAATTTTAATTCAATGACTCTTAGTAGGTACTGTATCTGTGACCGTATCTGAAAGGGGGGAGGACAGACCACCTGGACCCCCAATCACCAAATTCCTTCAATATGTCTTATTTTTAGCCAAATATCAAAACCTAAATTACAATATACATGTTTTGGACCCCCACCCCACTTAAAAAAATTTCTGAATACGGCGTTTATGTTGTCAGAATCTATTTCTTAGTTTACTTATTACCAATATTTATTAATTTAATTATATTTACATAAGCTAACTGAGAGGGAAAAAGTGGCTGTCATCTCCCAGCTAGAAAATAGACTATACAAGGCCTCAAACGGTTACTCAGAGGTCTCATGACACTCCCAATTTTAGTAAAATAATTTATAAACGTGCGTGTAACCTGTACGCTTTTCTCTCTCTTATATTTTATTTGCATACTTATATTCTCGTATTTATATAAGAAACTAAAATTATTTGTATATAAGACTAAAATTCTCCACATCACAATTATTGTATAATTTAAATCGTTTGGCTATTAGTTAGTTGTTTTGTATTTATCTCAATAGAAAGTTTATATAATTTACTTTATATCAATATGTATTTAATTTATTATATTTATATTAGACAATGACATCTAATGCATAGCCACTTCGCGCGTGAAATCTATCTCTTAGTTTGTAATTTTTTTTTTTATATAGGCTTTAGCCTACATTAACTTCATATTTAAACACAGGTGGTATTAATAATAAATATACTTTAAATCTTAATACAAATATGAAATACTGATACGTTGTTTATGGCAAAGGTTTGTATTGCAAAAAAATACACTGGTTGAGACGGTGTCCTCTTCATTGAGGGCTTGGTGAAGTGTGAAATTGTCTTAAATATTTGGTCTGGGCCGATCTAATTTTTATACTCTATAGAGAGGTCAACATTTCTGACATTCTTCCATTATTTTTTGATGAATTAAATTGAAAGTTTCGAAAGAGGATGATGTGTTAATTTGTATGGATAATGAGGATGTAGTAGCTTCGTAGGCTGTCGTGTCTGTCTGTTTTCTAATTTCCAAGTATCCCAGTGTGTGAGGGGACCCATATGAAACTATATAGTGCTATTTATTTCAGATATCAATTTCTAAGTGTATTGGATTAGCTCATTTTTTGGAAAAAGATGATTTCCTGACCCATGATAACAGAAAAACCCACTCCATTAAATTATATAAATCGATTTCGTTGAGCAATATTTGCGTCAATAGCATGAATATTGAACAATTAAATAATATATGATATTGGTTAGGACTATAGGGGGTACCATTTGTGAATATATTTCAACTGTATGGTAACACTATAGGGTAAAGTGTTAAACTATGGACAAAGTTGAATGTGAACTGCAAAGGCATCTTAAATTATTTTTCTTATTTTTTGTTCTATTTGCAACTAAAAAAGGAACTCGTTTATTTTCTAAAGTAGGTAATGACTTCTATTTGTTTAAAGCGACAGTAAAAGAAGTGAGTTCTCTTTGTTTTAAAGAAAAAGAATTAGGAACAGAATGAATTTCTAAAATTTCTTTCTATAAGAAACATGCTAAACACTGATCTACTATCTATAGTTGTAACTAATAACTATAAAAGAGACAAACATTCAAAAATGTACCTAATAGTTAAAGAAAATTATTATTATATGTTGTTTTAATGTCTTTTATATTTGAAAACATTTAAATCACATGTTATCAATCAATATACGCAATATTATATCCATAGATATGTGTAACAACTAGCAACTATAGGTATAGTCTTCTTGTTCTTATCACAACTGAAATCAACTGCAGTTCGCCAAGCATGTAATATTTACTCATTAAGATGTGTACGTAGATATAGGTAGGTATTTACGTAGATAATAATACAAAATGTAAATATTACCTGCTTAGTATGGCGACTATAGATATTGCATACGTAATAATTATAAAGACGGTGATGTTATAATATCTAGTTGTTGTTTGTATTATCTATGATTATAACATACGTTGATACAATAAGTATCCACATAAATCATAATAATAATAGGTATTGCACAAATTGTATAATAATAGTATTAAGATAATATACTATAGTAGAATATATGATGTTAAATGCAGTATTTTTTAAACACGCAAACAAATCGTATAAACTCGTATAAAAACATAATAATTACAAAAAAAAAAAAGAAAATAGTAATAATAGTAATGATAATAACAACTAGTAAAATTAAAATATATGATATAGGTACGTATAGGTTTAAAAAAATATATAAATATTGGGTCAACAAAAACTTTAAAAAAATGTAAAAACGAAAATAATTACAATTTGCATAAAAAAAATATATACACTATAATACACTATACGACATATAATACAATAAATCTATTCGTTATTTCGAGTCCGTTGAAGTCTTTTTGGTGTTCGTTATAAATGATTTCATTTTGTTTATACACTTGTCGACGAAGTTTTTCTTCTTTACGCTGTCGCTGACCGACGCTGAGACGCTACAGCTGTCTTCGGCGTCTTCTTCGCACGTGTCCAGGTACTCTTCCAGGCTCTTTGCCTTTTTCATTTGAGCCTGTACCTGTACTCGCGGATCCGGTTCGGCGGTAGTCTCCAATAGACCTTCCACGCTTTTGGCTCGTTTCCGATTCTTTCCGCGACCATTTGGACTCATTGGTGGCCTCCAGGCAGGTAATCTCGAACACTTCCGGTATCTGTGTAAACGATAGATATTACGTTAATTAGGCCGATGTCAGAATTTCATCGATTCGAGACGATCACAGTAAATAGTTTATTAAATTCAATCGTTTCAAACCACACACAACGCGCGTACTCTGAGGTTCAGGCGATAGAAGTTTATGTTAAAAAGCGAAAGAAGTATCGACATACACATAATTATGACTCATTACTCGGACACGATAATAGTAATAGTATTAGGTATAATTACTTAGATGTGTGTGTGTGATGCACAATCTACCCAGTACGAGTAATAATTTACATGCAATATGTGTTTAACATTTTTCATTTTTAGGAAAACGTCTTTCAAACGTTTTGTTAGTGGGATTAAAAAATAGAAGTTAAAGAATCAAAACCGATACCATTATTTTATGTCGACTATTTTTTTTTTGTTCTTAAGGGTTAATATTTGGTTGTATTAAATTCTATAGTGAAAATATTTTTTCTTCGATACCTTTTCGTCAGTACGTAATCGTACTATATATATATATAAAGCGCACAGCGTACACACTTCACAGAAACCATCTACATATCAATCTTAATATGCCCTAAATTTTATATCGAAATCGGTTTGGTGGATCTTGAGTTATAAAATGTATTCAAAATGTACACTTATTTTTATATATATATAGATTAATTTTATCATAAGGGATACCCATATACAATTTGATGTATTATTTTGAATCATAAAAAAGCCACATTAAAAATTCCGAAACCTTAACTGCTTGTAATATTTCAAAGAACCCGCAGAAACGTTATCAGAGTTCAAGTGGCCGGTTCGTTATCATACTACCCACCTAACCATGAAGTCTCGGAGGCCGCTGCAGGACGGACGACAACAACAAGCGGACGGACACAAAACGTAGCAACCGGTTCGGGCGGGAAAGCAAAACATCGGCCACAGTCCCATACCTGGAAGTGTTCCCCGCTAGTCAATCTTTGCTACCCGTGAGGTCGCGTTCGCTGTCGTTGGACTGAGTCCGCTGGTACGTTGGCGGCGACCTGCCCACCGTCATGGGAGTGTTCGGTGCCGACGGGTCGCTCTTGATGGTGGACGGGCCGATGCCACCACCGCCGGACCTGTTCAGCGACAGTCCCGAACTGGCGCCGTCCCGGATCCCGTTCAGCTCGCCCCGCATGAACCGCTCCACCTTCTCAACGCACGCATCCTGGTAGTCGTGTATCCACCTCACGCCGTTGAACTTCCACACGTTTTGCATGTCCTCCGGCAAGGTTTCCGGTTCGGGCCAAGCAAAGTTGTCCATGATCGGGATGATGTTGCATTGGTCCTGTATAGCAGCCACGATTTCCTGTAAAACGGCATGGCACGATTAGTGACTGTTGAACAGACCATTAAAATTACGATACTCTAATATAATTAACGAGCCTGGGTACGGATTTCATAATGATAGTACGAAAATTAAAAAAAAATTATAGAACAATTTATATTTCAAATGCCCTAAATGTAAATTACTGATGTTTGTCGACATTACCTTGTGCACCCAGTCTTTGCATTCGTTATCGCCGATACACCTGTCCAACGACTTCGGCGTCAATACTAATATGAAGTTTTTCGCCTGCTTGATGCTTTGCAACAGGTTGTTGTCGAACTTTCCGGCTTCCAGACGTTCCACGTCGATGAACACTGAGTATCCTCGAAGTTGTAAGTGTACTTTGAGCAAACTGAAAAATAAAATTAATTATTAATATCGATACCATCTAGCAGATTTCATAAGATCACTTGACATGATATTTTTAAATAATATTATATTCATATTCGAATTCACATCAACTTTGCGAAATATACAATAGCCTTACCTTGCCAGTTGAGATCCAGTCGATCGTCGGTAACTGATGAACACATCCAAGTGTTTGTTCATGTTTTCTTCGTAAGAGGACGTTTCCATTAGTGTCTCCATGTCTGTTAATGATAAAAAGCAACGATATTTGTGAGCACGTTCAATTTTAGATTTGTTAATACTACAACATTTACCTCTTATCGAGTCTAGTATTCTGTACCGGTGAATGCTGTTTGATATTCCACACTCTTGTATAAGCTGTTCTTCTGATAAAAATCTAAAACATTAGTTAAATAGTTTTAATGAAGGTTGATATGTAATTACTTAATGAATCAACGTAATAAGTAACACATTTTCAGTATTTTCTAGTGTATTTATTATTTTTTTATTAGATTTTTGTCAAATTGTTTTTTTTTATAGAATTGAACATATTATAGGTATTAAAAAAAAAAAAAATGAATTCACTTTTAGTTGTGTACCCTTTTAAGTTGAGTTTGAGTAAAAAAATAAATATAAATATAATATTTATCATTTGAAATTACTGTTAAGTGACTTACCTGATGGAATCTCTATCAACGCCAGCATTCAACATGGAATAAGTGTACACGGAAAACTCCGGACCTATGGACTGGAGGAAGGAGTTCAGATTTGTCGTGTCTCTACTACTGTAGTCTGCCAATCGTTTCAAATTGTGTATTTCTCTCATAAACCTGGAAACGATAGATAGAACAATATTATAAAAGTGTAGGTACTTAAAAACGATTTAACTTATCTAGAACAAAGTAACCAGTGTTTTTTTTCATTACTTAATAATGTAGGTATCCATTTATAATTTGTAACAAGTGCGTTAAGTTATTTTATAAGCTATATGAAAATAGTTAAAATACTTCGATAAAACAAAATATGGTTAATAAATACTTAAATATGAATTATCTCTGTATTACATTTTTTACTAAGACTAACTACCTAGTATATACGGTAAATACCAACCTTCTTCGCATGATTCCATTGTGTATTCCGATGTCGTCCCTAAGATTTTGTTCGGTCAACTGCAACAGCAGGTCACCATCCACTCGGCTGTCCACGAAGTTTTTGGAGCACTCGCTGAAACCGATCTGTCTGACCCATTCGCGGACGTCCTCGGGTGACCACAATGGTACTTTTTGGCTGAGCTTGTGCGGTACCTCTTCGCCGATCAGCCGCAATGCTTGGGCGGCGAACTTTGACGCTATTGCGTTGGGGCAACTGGCCACCTTCTTCAGTGGTTCGACGGCGTTGATCACGCTGAATATACCGGTCTTGCCCTGTTGCTTCTTGATGCCAGCCTCCATGCAGAAGTGGAAGGCGGCCAAGTTGCACGCTTCCTCCCGGATCGAGCTCAACACCGGGACCAACCTCTCCAGCCAATGGTGGCTCTGGCCATGGGCGTGAGCCAGATTCGACTTGGCGAACTCTGACGGCGTGTGGGTAGTGACGAACGGGTCGATCAGGTCCAGGGTTTCGGACTTGAGCACGGCCGCCTCGATTTCTTTGTTGGCCACCAAAACGGCTATGGCCAAGAACGCGTAATACTTAATGTTGTCGTCCGTGTTGAACGCCAACGTGAACAACCACGTGGGTACGTTTCGCTTGATCATCAGCTCTTGGTTCTCAGCACCTCCGTACAGCGACAGGTTGGCAAGAGCACCGGCACAGTGTCTGAGGGTTGCGATGTCTCGTCTGCGGCACTCGTACAGCAGTACGTCCAAGCCACCGAGTTTGATAACATCGCTACATGTCATTTCACTGTGTTTAAATAGATGCTCGAGAATTCCTATAACATATTCATATATCGTTAGATATATCATGAGGTTATTTAGCTGCTAATATTGATCAATCAGATTTGAACCAAAATATAGAAAATGAAATACAAAAAGAAAAATATATTTAATCAATTTTATATATGTTAAGTGTAAAACTTCGATATCACGTATACTTAAAGAGCGCTTCTTAAGAACTAACTTTTATAAACACTAATTTAATTTATATTTTATGGTATATTGGCTACGACATTTTTGTATTTCATTTTTCATTGTCTTAATAAAAACCATAATACTATAGTTTTTATATTTCGTTTGAAAAGTCAAAACCGTATTTTCTTTTACAAAATATGTTCGACACCACCTGTTGTGGTAATATTCGTGCAAAGACAGTTATGAATTTGAAACGAAAATTACTGGATTTAATATTCTGGTGGGGCCGATTAATGTAAGAAAATAATATTTTACTTACCAGTACTGACTTTAGATTGATCGGCCGAGCTCACTTGACTTTTGTACGCGCACACAACGTGTACGACCTTTTCCAGTCCATTTTCCACTACGTAGGCGCGATTTTCTGTGGTTAGGCATTGTTCAAGTAACCTGGCACTGGAGAACTGAAGTTTTTGGTCTTTGGACACGCAGTTGTTGATCAACAAATCCATTCCACCGCAGTCCCGGAATGTGTTACACAATGCATAACCAAGCTCGTAGGTCGGTACGGCCCACGCCTTGCAAATCATATCGAACATTTTGTTAAGCATAATCGGGCCTTTGGCGTCGGCGTACTTTCCGGTAGTCAGTCCCTTGACAGCGTTCTCCAGGTACAGTGAATACTTTTTAATGGCGTTTTCCACGTCTTGAGTATTGGCGATCTCTCGCATCTGGTCTAGATCATCGAAATTCGTGTTTAACAGATCGTCGACACTTCTGATCACATGTGTCGATGGGGGCGACGAACCACTGCCGCCAGACGAAGACCCGTTGTGCGACGACTAGAAATTTAATTATGATCGAATTAAAAACACTGTACAAAAATATTAGTATAGGCAGGTAGTGAAACAATATTTATATGAATAAATTACAAAAATGATGAATTATATAAAAAAAATATTATTATTACTTGTGAAGTGGCGGATGACACGGCTTTTGAACTCGTGCAAATGCCTTTTTTGGTGAACGTAAAGTTCGATTGTGATGACTGAGCAATATGTTTTTCTTGGTTAAACATTCCTGAAGACGTAATTGTCTGTCTTTGTTGTTGTGCGCTCGAAGCTTTCTAGAAATAATAATTTACGTTCAGTTAAACTATTATAATAATATGTACAATAAGTGTACAATCTCAATATTTTATCTTTTCAAAAATGGTATAATAATCATAGAATATGAAATTAAACTAAACATTTTAGGACCAATAGTCTATTGTTACCTATTATGTATTCAATTAATATAGGTATATTAAATTACTATTTCTTATTTGTTCATCAACTAATAATATTTCTCGTAATGACTATTATTTAGTCTTATAACATAACCATAATACTACGTTTATCCATTACTCAATAAACATAGGAAATTTAAATTTTAAAATATATTATAACGTATATTTTTCACCTTCTGAACGACATTATTAGATAACTATATCGTTTGAACTCCGTTTAAACGTTAAACAACGTTAAAATCGACTTCATAATTCAAAAGTAAATTGGTTTAGGAGTTGATAATATCAAGACGTTTAATAATAATATTATTACGACACTCATTTATTTTGATCACAACTTCGCGCAATAATATACTGTAGGTAGATAGTGGGTACCTACCAATTTCAATGTTAAGCTAGTATCGATTTAAATACACTTGACATTCGTTTATAATCGCGTTTTATAATTTTTCGTTCGACGTGACCAATATACACATATAGTTATGAACAATATCATATCTGCATAATTTATGCACAGTAGTATGTGCATTTTTGCTGCGACTACACCTGTGCGTTGAATTTATTGTAGTATATCTAGTATGGACGTATTATAATAGTACTTCCTTTTTTTTTTTACAAGACATTTTTAAAATATTTAAACGTGAACATTTGAAGAATTCGAGTTAAATATAAATCGTTCAAATTTGACGCGATTACGGCTACTTTGTCGTATTTACTATTACAAAAAGTACAATGTGGTAACTATAATATTATAACCAAAATTCAAAAACAATAATTAATTGACTTTTTTTTAGTTCTATAAATTTTTAGAATTATTTAATTATCATTCATCAGGCTTAAAGTTAAATATAATGAAGCAATGTTAAAAAAATAAACTACCGTACGACTAGTAACAAATGCGTGTGACGTTTCGACTATAATATATTATAGTTGTTAATTAAGTTTGAAAAATTACGCATACCTAATATACTTTTTTTTCAACGGTATGTAGATATAAGGTACCTCACTTTGATTACCTATATTTTTAAAATATAATATATTGATTTAAAAACAGTCCAAAGTGAAAACAATCAACAATTTGTACCTATCAACGTTTATAGCTAATATTTTTGTCAATAATTATATTCGAATCATCCGAACTATCCCAACTACAATATCGTTGTGCGTACAACTCCGAGGTATTGGGAGAAAACGTAAAACCGATGTGTAGCGCTTTTAGCCATCGAGCTTTGTCAATAGGGTTTTTTCTGACCGTTTCGGCGATATACACGTAAAGCCTTTTTTAATTAAAAAACTATATACAATATTATACTTTTGACGATATGATAGTATGATGAGACAACAACTCACAAGCCATCGTTTTCAGTAGCATCTGTTCGTCATTTCCGATAGTGTCTCAACCGTGTACAAGTAATTACTGCGTTCGGATTTGACAAATCTCTCTTTATAAATTATTTTACCTGCAGCTATCGTACTTGTCCTAGGTGGCGCCGTGGCGTCACTGGTCGGTGACATTTTTATACACCGATGTCAGATATCGGATATGTCTTAAATAAAAACCGGTGGTATAGATAAGAACGATGAGCCATCTTATTTCGGATTAATAACATCTTGTTTTATTTCGGCTTGCAAATCATGGAGGGGTGGGAAAGAGATAAACGTGCCAATCGTTACACTATATGTTAGGTACTAGTAAAAGTATCATACACCGACACACCGTATTAAAATTTTAAACAAAGACTAATCATATAAATATATTATACTATATTAAACGATTAACTCGCGTAAGTAGTCCACTCCAGTTTTTACATATTTTAATATTGATGAACACCGCTAACACGTGGAGCCCAACACGGTCGTTGACCTTATGCGCGGATAACATTAGAATTGCTCGACTTCCGAATCAAATATTTTTTTCGATTTCGAATTTATCATGGCATTTAAGCGATCAATACTAATCACTAGGTATTATAATATCGTTATAATTTATTATCACTTGCCGTGGCAAACGAAAGTAAAAACGTGTTAGCTGTAACTGCAGCGGATCGACATGGAATTGTTAAATGACGCGAAAAATGTCGACTACTTGCGTAATGATAATAAATAATAATATTATAATAATACAGTAGTTGTAGTATGAACAGAACTCAATCACCGCATGCCCGCATATATATATATATATATGTATATATACCTTTTCAGAACTAAACGAATCGGTCTGCACTTTCATCGTGGCAGCACTGGTGTTTTGCAGGTTTTCCTGTTGAGATAGTGCTCCAGCTTTGTGCAGCGTTCTTTTTTCCTGTGAAAATGTTTGAAAACAATCAGCGATACCGATCCAAACGGTATGGTGTTATAATATAATATCTGTGTGATAATACAATAATAATATGACAGTTCGGACGAAGCTCGTACACTACTTTACGTCTACTTTACGCGAAAAAAATTAAAACACTGTTTAACCGAAATACCGGCAGCTGTGTGGTGGCGGTGGTGTATATTGTAAAACTAAACTTAGACAATCGCGAATTTTCTACTCAGTCGTACGCGCGCGTGTGTACGAGCGTTAGTGTTTAAGTGTGGGTATAATATATATTATCATCACTTATTACTATTATTATTATTATATACGCGTAAACTCCCACAGAATGTCGAGAGACGTGAAAAAAACGCGAAAAGACTCGCGGGAGACATTGTTTTTTTCGTATTTTTATTGCCCAACGACCGCTCCGACGATGATGACGTCCCAATACCTTTATTCGGGTGTAATACCACGGTAATAATAACACGATAAATTGTCGTGTGCAAAATATACATAATATTATGTTACCAGTGATAGTTGACGATGCCCCCCCACAGACGTTTGATCCGCGTGATCAACAGTTTCTTTTGGTCGTCCGCCGTACATACACAAACGCATATAATATAATAAATCATAATCATCATGTGTGATGCTCTTTTAAGTGTGCACAGTATTTTTAAAATTTGTTTTTCTCTTTCATAACTTTCGTTAACGACTAAGGTAAGTCACACTTTATAGATGCTTGTAATTTGCAAGCACAAATCGTCTATCCTCCGGCTTGATTTCCGGCGCCACATATTTTAAATATAATTAAAAACGGATTTAAATAATATTATGTACTTTACCGTTTGACATTTTGTATCAATAATTATAATCATCGCATTGTAAGCCCCTAAATAAATCAAAATATTGGAGTTTGACTATTTTGGATTATATCCAACCCTCGTATCCCCGACACTGCGTGAATATTATATTATTATCAGCGAGTTTAGACTTTAGAATCATAAAGACACACACTCACTTATTTGCTAGGTTTATTCTAACGTACGTTTGTACATCAATATCGTTAGATTTTACACTTTCGCAGATTTCAACAATATAATATTATAATGTTAATGATTTTTTTTTAAGCGATTAAAAGCACGCTGTATACTAAATGAATGTTATATTATTATTATAGAACTTATCTGTCGGGTTCTTCATTCCGAGTTCTTGGAATTATAATTCAAACACCAAGTGCAAATAAAAGAATCTCGTGCTGTATATACAATGAGAAAAACGTTTTTTTTCTTAATGGCTTCGTCAGTCGTATAGTGTTAAAATCAAATCGATGTACCTAAATATTATTTAAAAAAACAAACATCCGATCACATGAAACGGAGATGGGAAAAAAAGAGCGATCGCACAATATAATAGGCTATACTTGAAATTGCGTTCTGGAATTTGCATAATATTCTTTATTTACTTTACGTCCTACGTTCGCAGAATCAATCAATCGATATATAATGAATTAAAAATTCCACATGATTTAGAAGTCCTTGAATATTTTCAGTAACTAATTTTCAATTTGCTTTTAACAGAGTTTGATAAACAATATTATTAAACGCGCCATCAAATCGCAATGACGACCACTCTTTAGACCGATTTCCTATGATATAATATATAACTAACGTGTATGGAGGGCAATCAAATATTATAGTAAGCACATATTATATATTTACGTTTGAAGATGTCGTATCGTATTCAAATGTCATTGCAAAACTAAATTTCACGATTGCTGGCTGATTCGGATGGTAATAAAATAATTATTTGTGGAAAATGTTGCGATTCCCAATAATATTGTAATCATATAATATATTATTGTGTGCAACGAGTCTAACAAATAGAATAATAATTGTTTTTATGCGATGTAAGATGAAGAGAATCTTCTACAGATAGAGACTTCGCGTAAAAACAAAATTCTGACTAAAAAATTAAATGTACCTACGCGCTTATCGACATATTATTTAATTCCTTATAGCAGTGTTCGGTATCATATGAAACGCGAATTATACTCAACTACAGTCGAGATGGTTTGGACTATAATATTATTATTATTATATTATACACACATAATATTAATATTAATTATTGCTATATTCACCATTGAGCAGACTGATCACACTTTGGTATTTACTGTTTTTATGCGCGTGCCATACAATATGTAATTTATTATATTCAATATCAAAACATATTACCGCCCGGGTCGATATTATATATAGGTGTACAACAATAATAAATAATAATAATAACATTATTATTGTTTTCGTTTCACGCGCAGGCGGCGTTTGTGGCAAACGGTTCAAGGACGTGCCTGGGCGGCGGCGGCAAAAAAGATGAAGGGAATATATTTTGCTTCCCCTTTTCCGCACGCAGAACGGCGCGATTGGCCGTGAATCGGGTTTCGTCTCGTTTGTAGGTTATTTTGGCCGGAGACGAAGGGAAACATAAATGGATACGAGAAAAAAAACTTCCTCGCTAGTGTACGACGTGTACGTATAATATTATGTTGTGTCGGCGGCGGCAAGGCACCGAAATAAATTTGGCTGACTTGCCAAGACGCGCAGCACTCGTTTGATTTATTCTCACCGTATGAGAATGTAAAAAAAAAAATACTCGACTGGTCGCCGCCACTGAAATCGAATTCTCTGTATTTTTAGAGCCGCCGCTGTTTACCACATGACAATATTATATAAACATTTTTTTGAACAACATACCTGTTCGAAGTTTGAAAAATCTAACCCAATTTAAAAAAAAAATCGAACCAAACCAAACTCAAACAAAAAGTTTGAAATTCTATGATTAACCTGGACTCCAAAAAAATTCTAACACATCAAACGTTTCGAACAACAAATGTTTTATATATTTTTGACTTAAACTAAAAAGTTTGATTCGTAATTCAATTCCAAAGCTCGGTTCGGGTTCAGTTCGGTATCAGACGAAATATTGTTTGGTAGACGGGTTCGGTTGAACGAAATACGTTTTGGTTAGACCCACTTCTACTACCTATACAATACAATTATTATGTCGTACCTATATTTAATAACATCTAATATATTATATTAAATAAGGTATCGATAATGATCGAATCGCCCAGACGATTGTTTTCTGATCGCTATTTTGCAGTTATCGCTACGAATTTTCATCGTCATTAATCATTATTTACCTTGGGCCCTGCTTTGAACGTGCTCATATTTTTTTCGGCCGTTTTGAACGCGACGCCGCCGCCGCCACTGCCGCTGATCACTAGCCGCCAAACGCCGCGCATAATAAAACCGCACCCGCGAGGTAGACACGTCTTCACGTCACCGTCGTGACGATTTCTAACGATGACAATAATTAATTATACTATAATAATTAAAACGACACAGTTTTAGAGGTACGAGAAAAAATAACCACTGCGCACTGCAGGCCAAATACAAGTAACCTGCGGGGGTAGGTGCAATTACACACCGACTGCATGCAGCAGCTACTGCGGACCCGAGAAAACTACGGCCAAACCATTCGACGATTTTCCGACAGACCTTTCAGTGTTGTTATTTTTTGTGTTTAAGTTATACGTGACTATAACGACGGGGCTAAAAGGCGTGTGCGTGACCCGCTGCGGCGGTTGTAACGGTGCGCCGGGGACGGCAATAAAAACGGTGGCGGAGTCGTACGTTTGGTTGCCCGACTTGGGCGCCACCGCCGACGTTCGAATAAAAAAAAATAAAAAAAAATACTGACGAAAACGATAATAGTCTATGATATCGTATTACTATCACAATGGAACACTCTGCCGGAGTATCGATCCGAGTAATAAATGTGTTACGTATACCACCCTCAGAGTTGAAAAACGATCAAGTCTCGTTATATTTGCAGTGTTCAATTACCAAATTAGGGTGTACGAGTGATACAATAAAAAGAAAAATGTATGTGGGGTGTGTGGAAGACGGAGAGATGAGACTTTTCGGGGGATTAGATTTTCACTATTGTGAATCGTTTGAAAATACGAGTATAATTAATTATTGACCAGTGCTGAATAATATGATATTATAATGGATCGAAAAATATAGTTATACCCATAACTGATTTGCAATAAAACGTATAATTTTATAGACGATAGATGCGATTTTTACGTTGATACCTCTGCTGTACAGAGTACTTATATAGACGGTTTTGGAGGAACAAATCCAAACCAAAAATCACTTACTTGGCGATTGAAGTTTTCCGGACGAAAGGAGATTTTTTGAAAACGTCTAAGCAACGTTTCGTTGGAATGCATCGAAGTAAAGAATGGAGCCATTATATGATCACAACTATAGAGAAATGAAGCGCATTCTACGACTTATTTATATTGTATATATATTTCTAAAATTTTATTTTGCAGTTATCCTCAACACGTTTCGTCGAACACTGACTATCGTCACTACACAACTGTCTATAGACGGAACAACTACATAGAGAGTATAGAGACTATAATAATATTATGTCATAATAGTAAAATATGAAAAATTAAACGATATGACTAATAAAATATTATAGATTATAATATCAAATCTCATACTCGTATGGCAACTACGTAGAATTGTTAACAACTTATGAGAAACTAATCATTGCTAATTATACCAGAGCACCGAATGGCCACTCAATGTACATCTAATTTCCCGTAGATAGGCATACTATATCATAATATTACTAATACTTAATATTAAAAAAGCATAAAATATAACATTAGGTGAATCATATAGTATTCTAATATTAACCATCCGCGAGCGACCGGAAGTTATAGTTGTTCACAAGTTCTTAATCGTCGATTATTTATTTTTTTATCGTAATTACCTACCGTCGTTCCGGTAGATTAATAATAAATATCATTTTCGTACTCGACAGCGATTGTTTCATGTACCTATACACTTGCACAGCTGTCAAACCTATATTATTATATTAATAAAAATATATTTATAGTTTATACACATACTGTGTCAATCCATTGATAAACATGTATCTAGAATATCATTTAAACGTACAATGCTACTATGCTATAGAATTATATCTGTGTAGGTAATTGTATTATTTTAATTAGCACCAGTTGAACAGCGACTACGATTTACTGACGCGGCTGAATTTCGAGAGATCACAACTATATAATATAGTATATACAGAATATTTTTTTTTTAAAAATGACGACTGCAGTTCTGTAAAAGAGATATATGTATGTTATTATCGTATTTACATAGTTTACGAGCACTCCACGTGGGTCACACTCATAGGAAATACTGCAACGCGAGAATTGTAAAAAAAATAATTAATTGATTTTTGAGACGAACAATTAATGCGAGTGTTTCGATGACTACGGGAAATTTCGTCGGTTATTTTTCTTGGTTTTCTCGATTTCAATTTTTTGCGACTCGCAGTTATTCGTTACCATAATATTGTTATTATAATGCGAGTATGCGACCCGTGTCGGAACAGCAGTCGCACGCGTGTTTCGATACATAATCAAAGAAAAAATCGAATAAAAAATTTGCCGAGTTTGCCCTCACCGCCGCCGTGTAAGTAACAACACGAATTATTCGGAGTCATAAAGTATAATAACATGTTTCCGCATTGAACACTGCACAATAAATATTACACAGTACCTAATTCAATAATATTGTACACGACATTGCAATAATTTGCTTCTAGACGCACGTGATTTGTTTTTCCTTTATAATAGTGTTTTATCACGGGGGTGATATTATTATTTTGAAGGAATAGTGTTATTGTTTTACCGCATGACATTTATTATTCCACTAGCGGCTAGTTGCTACGGTTTTACTCCTGAAGGTACGATTTTGACGATCTTGTGGTCGTGAGACATGATTGTTATTGGCTCTTAATATGCAGGTATAAATAATCAATTAATATATTATCATATGGTATGGGGACCAAAGTTAAATAGAATCGAATACCTTACATGAGTTTGGTTTTCGGAACCAATAAATGTTGCTACTATAAACTAAACACAATATAGTTTGAATTTTTGAACTCGCTACTTGGAATATTAGAAGATGGTAAATTGTATTATAATAGTGTTTATGTGTCTATATAGTTCGATGTTTTATTTATTCGCTGTTAAATTAATATCTTAATAATTATTCGAAAAATATTTTTTACGGAAGATTTTATCATATAAATATTTTTTTTCACACGATTCTCAGGCTATATACGTGGTATCTACCTATAGTATATTTTTTTATACAAACGATATTGTACAGACATAAATAAACTAGGTAATACAAATTTCATCAATTTGGCAGCGTCTAACTGTATTTGGAACTATGACAACATAATAATATATTATCTCCTATCCATAGTTTATCCGTAAGAGTTAGATCGTTATATGAACCATCAAACGTAAGCATCCTAAACCTTAATTATTATGTTATAATATTGTACATATATTATAAATTATATAATTCAATAGACACGGCTAAATTATAGTAATAGATTATTGACAAATGAGAGCAGTATAATATGTGAGTATACAATGACTTTGCAAGTTATTATTTTTAAATTCGTCGTTCAATACAAAACATAGGTACAAACTTTTTTTCTGTTATGATTTAGTGACAAATTATCACCAAATTTTTAGACAGTGCATACGCGTCCGTAAACGTATGCATGTAAACGTATGCAATAATAATCGCTTCGGAACTATATAATTAGAATTGTTTTTCTTAAACGATATAGGTAATGTTCGATAACACAATATTATGTTTTTAATTTGTCAAAAAAAAAAAATTGCGTTTGGATATTACGATTCCATCCGAGACTACGGTTACAATATATAAAGTAATAATAAATTGTGTGCTATACCGCGGCCTACGATTCGATCGCAAAAGTTACACAATTCGATGCAAATCGGGAACCACCGATACCGTATCAATATTAATCATTATTATATTATTATCCTTTTTATATTATTAACGCATTTTAATATCTTATCAGTGTTTCACGTGGACAAGAGCACACCGGAACCACTCCATTATATAGATAAATCTTGGTAGGCGCCAAGATAGTTAAAGCGAATTGAAGCGCCGCGAGAACTAAATCGTTAACATTATAATATATTTATATATTTATTGGAATGTGTACGTATAGGGCCAAAATACTTAAGAAACTCTATTTTTGCTATCAAATCGTACACACAAACATGACCACTTGGTGGTTGACCTATTATCATATTAGGTATTACATAAAAAAGATTATATCACACAGGTTGTTACCAAAACATCGAGTGTTATAAAAAATGTTATAGGTATTCAGGAAATGTCGAGTGCTACGACTTGGCAATATTATTGTCCAATTAATTCTAGGTGACAAAACAAAGTAATTATATGTATGTACCTATAATACATCACACAATTAGCTAGTTGAGAAGTACTCACCTCTCTCTCTCACTCTCATCGAATAAGAACTATAATTGTCGAAGAGTGCAAACATAACTTAGCTGTAATTCTTACGAGTATAGAGATTATGAGGTGCGAAAATAGCGATGCCTAACACATTATATTTACACATTACAACTTACAAGTATCTTTAAAATAACAATTTGTGTGATAATGATAATGATTCGAAATTAAGTAACTTCAGGAGAAGCAAAAAAAAACTTTATAGAAGCAAATAAATGTTTAATCTTTGAATTACACCGAAAAATGATGATACCACATGTCTCCTTAAAGCAAATTCAAGAGCAGTGGGTGATGGAACAATATAGAACCTCTAGGGTTTTCTGAAAGTATTACTGTACCCTTTTTTTTCACCATTGTTTTGCCATACCATTTGCCATCAGCATCACTCATCATCTTATTTTTGACCACGACAATTATTTACTAACATGTCCATAAATTTCTACTTTATTACCGATAAATTCCATCGTTATTTCTCAACAAAACTTATTACTCGTAAATGCTATGAAATAATAAAAAATGTTTAAATCAATTTTCCTAACTTTTTTCTCGAATCTTAGTAAAAAGTGCGAGGCCTGGGGCCCGGACCCTGCTTGACTCCACTCTAAGGACGGCCTTGAATATAGTAAGTAGTAATATTACATAATATCTTGTACCACCTGCAGATCTTATTAAAATATTAAATAAGTAATCGGTAATATAATATAGGTAAACGTAATTACATAGCGAAACTGCAGTTGCGATTCAGACTCGTATTTTCTGGAGCACTTAGTACTTACAACAACCAAACCTATCTCTATTATCTACTTGTCGCTGCTAACCACAAATGTTATTT